TTGACCTTTAAATCTTCTAAAAACTTCTACCTATGAAAAGATCAAGTACACTATATTATTTCTTTTTTAATAGCGTGTAACATCTATAGAAAAAATGTGCTGTTAATTGTACAATTTAGAAGTTATTCAAAGTAATCAAGTTAAGTGCCTCACTCTATATATATAATATCATATAAACTTGGAAATTAGGTTTCATTTGATTGGCAGTTGTTCCTTTCTTTAAACTTCTCCTGCTTCTTTTACTATCTTTTTTTTTTCGAAAGGACTTTCCACACTCTTTTACAATTCTTTTTTCGTGCAAAAGACACGGGACAACCGGTCCATTGGAATAACACCTCCCACTTCTTTCGTTGCATCGTCGTAAACCCTTCGTGTTGTTCGAAGTATCTTCCTAATTATGATTCCCCTTTGGAATCTGTCCCCTTATACGAAAAACCACGTCATACTGATCAACGAACTGATATTTCTTTTTACTATTTATTTTATTCTCTGCGATTTACCACAACGAGAACCACAAATATCTTGTCTTAACAAAACAATTTTTCGTTCTAATAAGAATGAAATTATCCTAAACTTTCAAATTATGTGCCAATTTGTAGAAACGTGACTATTGAGAAAGTCTTAATTCGATAACCCGGGAAGTTCGTTATTAAGTCGATATCAGAAGAATTTATACATCATAAAACTCAATTAACTACAACTCGAAAGAAACAAAATGAGTAAAGAAAAAAGCAGATTAGTAAGAAACGAACCGTAAAATCATTTTCTTGGGTGCACGCGACCTTGCGATTAAAAGTACTTTCACGGTCATTTAATATAAAGATCGTATATACAATGTGAGTTTTCATCGGCACATCATACTTTACATCCTCATAAACATGATCCTATTACCGATCATTTACATTAAACGAATCGGAAAAAAGATATCTGTACATTCATCTTAGAAATACATATGTATGTGGTATATGAATATATATGTAATAAGTATATATCGAAGAAATTAATCGATAGAAAAATAAACGAAACACTTTGAAAGAGCGTTCGAGCAGTTGTACGAGTCATCATCAATATATCGAACATAATTAGAGTGTATCGATCAACATCCGTGATTCCAAAACACCACTATCGTTATTACCCAACTTGTTCTAATTTCATATAAGAAAAGCTCAAAATCGATAACGTTGATCTAAATTAGCAAGTAAAAGGAAAGAGTTAATATTATGTTCACAAGTTAGTTTATTAAAAATATAGGAAACGTGCAATATACCTCTTTTTTTTTTAACATTAAGCATACAAATCGAAAGTGCAATTAAACAAGACTACTTTCAAGTATCGCGATAACGGCGCGTGAAAATCACTATGATCGTTCCTGTTCAAGTATCACCTGACAACCCATGATTACTCCTCCGCTACTTTTATGTGCTCTTTTACCTCAAACGTTGAAGATAGAATAACGATTAAAGTATCAACTTCGTAGAATATTTCAGGTAGTACCCTTTTTAAAAGATTTATGAGTTAGTTTCAATCGTGAGATCGAAACTTTATATATTTTTCGAAATAAGTTAGTTCAAAACTGATCGTTTTGATATAAGGAATTTAACGAAAGTAAACTTAAATGAAACAAGTACGCATATATATTTGAACCCCCTAATAAAAAGTAAAATAAAAGAAATAACTTTAAAAATTAGACTCAAAACTTCTTAAACTATTGACGTATATATTTTTATATACGTAGTGCTGCTAGCTTCCTTCACCCTTATATGTATTACAAAAAGATTTGTTATTTTATTTTCATACAGAACAAGAAAATCGTACAGGATCGCGTCAATGATAAAATTAAATAATAATAAGCAAATACATATAAATTAATAAATACATTTTTATATCGTGACAAATTTGAAGTGTTTCAGTTCCATAGTATGTTGCCCCTTTATATATACATGAAAATGTTTAAAGACGGAAGTATATCTAATAAGATCAATTAAACAAGTTTACTTTCTATTTACTTCTAAACTTCTACTCTTGAATTATTATTCGTAATAAATCAAATAAATGTGTATTTACGCGTATTTACGCTTGTGTGAATATGTATAAACTACTATGTAAAAAAGCGGGGTGTCTAAGATATAAGATAATATTTATAGATAAGAGAAAAACAGTGAAGAATTCCTCTAATTATTTTACGAAATCAATAAGATTAATTATTCGACGAAAGACCGATAGCTTCGAAACAAGAGTTGTATTGTCTTCAGGAATGAATATGAAAATAATTCTTGATGAACTCACGCCCGCACACGCTTATACATATCTTAGAAATAAAAATTAAAAAAATTAGTTCAAGCTAGGGAAGTTAGCAACATTGTTGAAGATGCAACGGAATAACTGTAAAGTTTTCGCTTTTATCGTTCTGAGAACAGAAATATTTGTAATCAATGAAGACAAGAGTTAGGAGAGGGGGAAGAGAGAAAGGAATTGGTAAAAGGAAGAGAGTGCGTGTGAGAGAAACGTGACGCGTTATCACCTTCCTCTTCTTTTTCTTGTCCTCCTTCTTATTCTTATTCTCATTCTTGTTCTTCTTGTTCTTCTTGTTCTTCTTCTTCAGAAGGAAGGAAAAAAGGAAGGAAAAAAGGAAGGAAGGAAGGAAGGAAGGAAAGAAGAGAAAAAAGGGAGAGAAAAAGTAAAATAAAGAGAGAGACTCTTTCTCGCGTGCGGTTATACTTATACGAGAATATATGCGGCTGCCAATGGTTCTGCTTATATTTCTCTTTCCTCTTATTGCACGACTGTCCGCGAAGGAGTCTTATAGTCCAAGCAAAAGGCAGAGGCGAAGGACCGTTAGCGACACCTCGTTCACACGCACGTGCACCATGTAAATTTCAGGAAAGATTTAAAGGCGAAAAGACTAAGCGAAGCAAAAAAAAACGAAAATAAAAGAGTATTATCGTTGGTTACTCTTTAATTTTTAAATGGAACCATCTTTCGATTAAAATATAGGATTATTGAAATATGGATTTCAATTTTTAGAGTAATTTAAAACAGTTAAGTACATGTACAAATATTATATTGGGGGAAGAAGTTTATTCGTATTTTCCTGATACATTAACTCTGGTAATATTAATTTGTTTTGACAATACTTGCGTGAGTTTAAAAAGTTACATGTCATAGTGAGTAATTAAACAATAAATTGCAATATTTGTTAATTCTGTGATGCGTCTTGAAAATGAGAAGAAGTATATTCGATAAACTTTGAAATTTTATTACAAGAAAAGAAAAACACGACTCAGACTGGTAAAAATATTTGTGATGTTTGTGAACATGATGCAGTATCAGTATGTATACCACAGAATTAGTGTGTATTTCTATACAAGCTGTGTATTTAAATTTAAAAATTGTAATATCAAAGATGCATCTTGCTGATCGATCTACTACTTGGAAAGTCAATGAAATCATGAAAAAAATTAAGCAAGATCCATATATTAGCAGTCACGATATCGGTAAAACATTAATTTTATTTTTATATTAAAATGCGAAGAAACTTTTTCTCTGGTTAAATATGTAAAAATTAAATACTACAATGAGAAACTAGATAAACAATCTGATCATTTAAAATTTGAAAAAAAAAACAAATAAAAAAAAATAAAAAAGGTATTTATTATTTAAGCGAATCAAATCTTAGGTCAGGTATAATATTTATTTTTATAGACTTACAGGATTATTCAAATAAAATGTAAAAAGTTGTACTATCAGAAAAAATTAATAGAAATATCTTTTATAAAAAAAAAAATCCAAAGGATTAAGAAAAGAATCGACAGAACAGAAAATGCTGCTAAATCCCAAAATGTTTCGATTCAATCTACGATTTCTCATCGAACGAACAAAAAATATTTCTTTCTCAATATATATCTTATATTAATATCAGTTGAATATTTAATTTATTTCCGTATAACACTCGCAAGCATACATCGCTTCCTACTTTTGAATTTTTTGATTGAATCATCTTTGATTAAGATAAAAAAATACATAAAATTTTTATCTAAATTTTATGAAAATTAAAAATACAACCTATCTGTCAAAGTATCAAATATCTAGATTGAAAGAATGTCTAAATGGAAAAATAAAAAAACAAACTAATCCTTTATAATTCGAGAAAAATGTCAAGAACAATTTCCAACGATAAAACAAAGAGAAAAAATACAAGAAGATCTCCTTGTTTATTTTTTACTTTTAAAATGGAATCACCTTCGATCTGAATCGAAAATAAATGAAATTTTCAATCTATATTTTACAATAATTAAAAACAACTAATTATTTATCAAAATGTTTGAAATTTAGATAATGCGGGAATATGAATATTTACATGGAAAGAAGAAGAAGTAAAAAGTAATCTGGTCATTTAGAATTCGAACATCGTACGAGAAACGAGAAGACATTAAAATCACTATGAAAATCTTTGTCAAGTCGGAACGCGTGAGAAAGAATGACCGTGTATGATATGAGAAAGAGAGAAAGATTGAGACAGAGAGAGAGAAAGAAAAAGAAGGAGAAAGAGAGAATGGGTGACGCGACACATGTGGCGGGAAGTCGTAGTTGATATCTTCTTGCCATGATGACGAAGAAAAGGAACGAAGAGAGATGAGTTTAGTAAATTTATCGAGAAGAACTCTTATTTTTACATAATAATGAATAAAAATTTGTGAAAATAATCCTCTCTCTCTATATATACATATATATATATATATATATTACTTCATTAAGAAAAAAAAATTTGGAACCTTCCCATTTAATATCGTTGTATATTAAATTCATTAATAATGTTACTGCTTAATTATAATACTTTTACTTATCTTATTATCAAAATATCAACAACAAGTTTCGTAATAAGAAATCTGTCGACGAACTTAAACGAAACGATAACCTAACGTTACGAGTCAATCAATTTTAATATCTTTCCCGGCACTGAGAAAAATTGAATAAGAAAAAAAATGAAGGATGAAAATTACCTTGAGCAACATCGAAGAGGGGATTGGCAACAACGATGACAGGGAGAATGATCACAAGTGCTTTTATTGCCAGCATCGTTGAATGCGAATCCTTGCTCGAGGAAAGTCTTTCGTGCTCCTAACCAACTACCTTTTCTTTCTCTTTTCTTCACCTCATCGCGTGCGAAATCATCCGATCGAAAAGGAAACAAGGATTCAAAGTAGGTAAAAAAAAAAAAATATAAGAAAAAAAGAAAAGACGGGAGAAGGAAAAATAAATAAAAAATAAATTAACATAAAAAGCAAGACTAACAAAAATAACGAAAGAAATTAAAAAAAAAAGGATCGAAATATGAATTTCACATGTCAAGGCAGTACTAATAGGGGGTGGGGGAAGGAATAAAAAATGGCATTTTCAAAAAAAGACAAATAAATAAGAAAAAAGTGAAAAGAAGGGAGAAAGAAAGACAGACAGAGAGAGAGAGAGAGAGAGAGAAAAAAGAGAAAGGGACTCGCGTAAAATCAATCTCGAACTGTACTCGAGCACGGCCCGTGAACGACTAAGCTTTTCCTGCCACTTGAGTTCACAAGAGAGGAGCACAAGCTTTTTACCGAACGGACCGAAGAGACCACGACGACTACTACTAACACGAGGGAAAGAATAAATGCGTAGGAGGAGAGGGAGAAGACGAGCGCGTGGCTCGATGTCACGCAGTGCAACCGCTATTGTGTGACGTCTTTCGATATATTCATAAGATAGTCCGACCCTTACTTTTTCTATTTCTCCCTTTTTATAATACGTTCACCACCATATTCGTTCTATTTTATTATATTAAATATTACATAGACTTACTTATAATTCAGTTTCTTTACGCCAAATTAATACTTTCAATTTCAAATTCGAAAAAAAAAGATATTATTATCTTAATAAATATTAATATTATTTTTGATAATAGTAATATTTTTTATAAATTTATTTAATAAACATTTTTTTAAACAATCGATCTGTTATTTACATAATATTTAATATGTTTGATATGTTTGATATTATATCGACAACATTTCAATTTCTTATGTCCAATTGGTAATTTTAATTTCAAATTTGAATTTATTCAAAATATTGTATTACCATATTGTGTTATTATGTTTGTTTATTAATATTTTTGTTTGTTACTTTCTCTGCGAAATATCTTTTCAAACACATCCGAATATTTTTTGCAAGTAATCAAATAAGAGTCACCGAAATATGGGTGACGCGGCAGTCAACATGTTAAATAAGTTTCTTGGTCAGTCATCCGCATTTGTATTATTAATTTACACCACTTTCAAAGTAAATTCCTCATTTTTTAACGTATTAAATCGTAGAAAATCTCAAAATTAAAAACGATACTGATAAAATATTCGAAACTTTTTTCTAACTCTATTAAAACTTGAAAATTTATCCTCTTATCTTTTAGTAGTTGGTGTCAACTAGATCAGAAAAATGTTCGACAATAATTATTTAAAATAAATAATTTTCAACTAATTATAAAAACTGAAGAAACAATATGGAAATACTTTTTGAGTTTTACGATCTTTTAAAAAAACAAGCCTAAAAAATCTCAACTGGAAACGACGAAGATCCAGCATATTACTTTGTAAAGCTCTGCATTCCTCTCGCTTCGTTTCTTTTTCAAATATTTCAACCTTCAAAAGAGAAAAATGACAGTCAAAAGATAGAAAAGAAAAGTGGATAGTTCGTGACCGTAGTTCCGTTGATAACGATTAGATATAAATGACACGAAAGATGAATTTATTTATTATCGTAAAAGAAATGCTTATTACGGTTTACGTCAAATCATTCGAAATGATCTAGCAACAGAAACTCTTAGAACAAGGATCGATCGGTCCATCATGATCGATTCTTCGAGCGTTCATAATTTATTAATTTATTCCCTCTATAAATCGCCCTCAATCTGCACGTGGGCAGTATATACCAACGGACAACCGGTCCTTCGATTTTCTCTTTCATTACTCTATCTCTTTTTCTCTTACTCTTCTTTTTTTTGCGTTTCTTTTAACAGAGACAACATCGTTACTGCTTTACCCGTAATCCACGATCATTCTCTATGTTAATAATAATAAAAAATCATACACACCTACATATACATATATACTTATATATATAATAAAAGAATATTCTTGAGAAACATATCCTGTAACGCAAAGATCCGTTTACCATGGTTGTTGCTAAACGCACATCGTACCCTATCTTTCAGCGTAACATTCTTATTATCCCTCGACCACCTACGCGATCTCAAAGAATAATAATATCGACGAATACGTTCGAGAATATCTTCTTAACTTTCACGACACACCAGTTGAACAGAGTCTTCATATGTAAATTACTTCTTCCTTTTGTATCATGCTGCACAAATAATAATAACAATAATAAATACCAAAATAAGATTCCCTTTCTAAGATAATTGTGATATATATTACATGTTTACAAGATTAGTATTTAAAAATGTATTTACAAGATATTACATTAACATAAGAGAAACAGAATAATCGTCACTAGAACATTATATCTGAAAATCAATATCAGATTCGAGGATTAACTATCAACAATCTTATGTTCTCATAATAAAAATGAGAGAAAGAGATAGAGAAAGAGAATCACTTAATGTAAAACTATCTCGTGAACAGAAGGAATCGATGCACTGATCGGCTTCTTGCCTAGAATACCGTCGACACGTCCGCTATGTTAATGATACGAGCTCACATAAATATTCAAACCCTTCTCTCGATCAGCAAAGTGAGCTTGGCACCGTCTCCTTATCCGGCGACATCTGATATCACCTGTATACTAGCTCCTATGGGTCATTAACAAACAATAACGACGTAAGAATAAATCTTTACGAAAGGATCATCGACGTTATCGATCGTTTTTTTCCTAACTTTTTGTTATCTCTTTTTTGTCCATTTTAATATCCGAAAATTAGACAAAAAGTCGAGATTGAACAGTATGTATAATAAACATATGCATATAAATAATTATATCTATAAATAAAAGAAAAAATGTAATCGTGTTTTAAAAAAAAACATTTTAATGTTAAACCCTGTACTCTCTCCGTCATCGTCATCGTCGTTGTCGTCGTCGTTGTCGTCGATCGGTAAGTACTTCTTGTATTACTCTTACCGGTTTTTAATATCTAACGTCAACATGCGATCATTCATAAAGATCATTATTTCCATAAAATGATATATCAAACGAGATCATTTACAAAATGAGAATATTGATAAGATTATGGTTTGATGTTTTACGAGCACTAAAACAAAAAAAATTACGTAGATATTAATTTTTCAACCTGATTGTAGGTAGTTATTAAATATTCAAAGTATCGTGAAAAAAAATGTCGACATAATTCGAATTTTCGTTTTAAAATATTCAATGCGTTTAATTTTTTAAAAATTATTTTAGAATGTTATTTATTATATCTATCTGTCTAGAGATATTAATATAAATATTATAATTATATATAATTAAACAAAAAAGAAAATACATTTTAAAGACGTAATGTAGTATGCAGCTAATTAGCTCGATATAACTTGCAATGATTTAGATTTAGATAGATTACAAGAAATACCGATTGCCCTCGGATCTTACCACGTAAAGGTTGCAACATGTGGAGATTTACAAATTAAGATAACATACTAATTAGTCGCATCTAATGAACATTTCTTCGACCCGGCCAAAGAAGATGGTAGATGCATCAATCATGACATATCCGTGAGAAAAAGCATCGATTCTAATTTATGAAATATTTTATTCCGAAATTATCTCAACATAATGAATTGACATAATTGTTACATCACTGGCATATGCAAAGTTACATTTATTATTAATTTATTATTTAAGCTTTACGATAATATGCTTTCAAAAAAACCTTATGTATATCTAACTCAAAGCATAATTTTCTTATATATATCTGTCTATGCATACGTATGAACATGCTGACCTACATAAATTCTTGAACGAGTTCAGGATTCTTATTCCAATGTAAGTTTGAAGGTACTGTATTTCCAAAAAGAAATAAAAACATAAAGATACATAAAATAAACAATATTTTTCCTCCCTGTTCGTCGCATTTATTACATACACGTGGGCGTACAAAAATTAATTATTAATAACATTTACATAAAATTATTTTAAACATTGAATACTCAATTTTAACATAAAAACCAAACAAATATATGTCAAATACTTTTACTTTAATAATTTGTAAGAGCCTCATATTCTCATTCATCAGAAACTTCTCATTGTCAATCGGAAATACTAATAGTTCTTATATTATAATAGTGGGAGGAAAGTAATTTATTCGTACTGGCTACTTGACCAATTGTGATACTTGATCTATTCATTAATGAAGCATTAATGAAAGACTTCTCGGACCTTTCTCGATCTCATCTATTATGATGTAGACCGTGTAACCGGATTCCTCGTAAGGATAAAAATGATAGAGAGAAAATGGAGAGAAAGAGAGAGAGAGAGAGAGAGAGAGAGAGATAAAAAGGCCGAAAAAAAGAAAAAAACGGATTCCCAGTGCCACCCGTCGCGCGAGCTCATCCGCAATTTGTTTTCCATGCGTAGGATACCGAACGTTCCGAGGTATCTATATATTTACATGATACACCCTCTTCGAACGTCGAAAGGAGAGCGAGAGAGATGGTAGACGAAGTAACGAAGTAAAAGGAAAAAATAGTTCCGTGAACCGCGTCGTATCCTCTGCCAATCGTCGGCTGCATGTCAATGAGTCGCGACCGACGAAAGGGAAGAGAAAGAAAGAAAGAAAGAAAGCGAGAAGAGAAATGAAGAAGAGTAGGAGAAGAAAGAAGAATATACATGCATTTGTTTCTCTTCGTTCTTTGGCAGGAAGAGAAACAAACCGTGAGAAAAGGAATTTCTTAAGAGAATTTGTTGCACGTTCTAAGGACACCCATCTACGAACGAACGTCAGGACACGTCTTATCTACATTCGTATTGTCGATGCTTTTTCTCCCTTTCTCTCTCTGTCTCGTTTATTGTGTTAGTCGTTCGTGGAAAGGTGTATAGTACATCGACGTATGTAGAATCTCATAAAAGATGTCGTCGAATGCAACTCACGCTGTCTAGTGCAATTTGGATAATGCATGTCGCGCGTTCCTTCCTACCTGACGCCGACTTATCATTATGGAAAACTCGCTCACGATACGAACGAGTGAAATTAAGAGAGTTATATACCTATCGTCGATAAACATACAAAGAAAGGAGGAAAATTTTAAATATACAAAAAAGAAAGAGTTCGACAGGTCCATTTCATATGGCTTAAAAGATCATAATGCACTCCTTCAGTATTATAATAAATCAAGTTTTTTAAAACTTAGAGCTATTCGATAAAAACATTATTTATTATATTACATTTGATATTTTTCATGTGAATTATGGTAAATATATATGTGGTATACATATCTGAATATGGTAATTTCATGAATTATGGTAAATTAGAAAAACAATATGCTGAGTTGATTTTTAAGTTTCTAATGGCAACAGTATGCTTATTGGTTTAATCATCTCGTATTTTAAATATGAGCTGCTTGTCAGAATATCCTTTCATATGTCATATAAGAAAAAAGCAGATTCGTACTCTGTATTATTTCAATTTTAAATAATAACATATTGGAAAATTTATATATCAGCAAAAGGCGCAAGTATAATAAAATACTTCAAAATATTAAATCATAAGAACTTTTAATCATGGTACGACGAAAATCTCAGCCAAGGTTGGTCAATTTTTCTAGCGAACATAAGTAATAACATTTCTAAAGGTATTTTAACAGTTAAATAAAAAAAGGAACATTTTTAAATGATAATTTTCTAACGAACTAGTCTCCAAAATTGTTTTATTTTATCTCTTTCTTTCTATTTCTTTCGTTTAACTACTTTACAGTCTTAATTTGATCTTTTTTCTTCACGTATTAAAAAAAAAGAAACAAATAATATAATGAACAGATAAGAAGATGGGATAATATCTATGTAATATAAAATTGAAATAATAAATTTGATTTTAATTCATCATTTTAGATCAAATAATGGTCAAGTCGGTTCTTCTAGGCCCAGTGAAAAGTCAGCAGTAATAATACTCATCTCTTTTACCATGGTTATATTCAAATGATCTAAAAGTAAAAAAAAATCTCAAATTAAAATTATTATTTTAATAGCGGTCAAGAAGACTCAAGAATAGACCACCACGCAAGAGACGAGTATTAAGTGATATTATATATCTTAAAAAGACCACACATCTTCTTATACCAAAAGCATCGTTTATTCGTTTAGTTAGACAAGTCTTTATAGAATTATATTCTCGGATATATAGGTATTTAATTTCATTCATATTTCACATATTTTAAATATTTTAATTTAAATTTACGGAACTGATATAATAATACAGATATGAGAAAAAGAAAAAATAGATAACGATATTTTTCCTTAACATTTTCAAAGAATTCAATTAATTGCATTACAAGCATTGCAAGAGGCGTTAGAAATGTATATGGTACAATTTTTCGAAGATTCATTCTTGCTAACTAGTCATGCAAAGCGTGTTACACTTATGTGGGAAGATATGATAATGAACCGACGATTAAGAGGTCGAGATGATATTATCAACAAATAAAAATAAAGTAATACTTATAATTGCTTATGAATTTATGTCTAATTCATTACTTTTGCTTACATTAATTAATATATGAGAAAAAATAATGATCTATTTGCGTTTTAAATTTTATTAAAAAAAAATATCATGTGTGCAGATCACACGTGTTAAAAGTGAAACCTTCTTAAAACCAAGCTTTGAGAGAATGAGTCGAATGCAGAGTATCGTGAGTAAGATAATTGTAGGCTTTATTTATTATAATATTGTTACTATGTATCAAAGGGCATCGGTATGATATTGAGATAGGGGTAGCTGACAAAAACTACCACTTTCCAAGCCTATTTTCTTAATATCTCTCCTAATATTGTCCTTCCATCTACGTCTCATCTACCCAGTGGTCTTTTTCTGTTCGATCCTCCCCCATGCGCGCCCGTGACCTGCCCATCTTAATCGGCGTGAATTTACGACGTCAATGATGTCCGGTTTGTTGTACAGTCGATGTACTTTTACGTTATGAAGTTTTCTCCATTTGAATTCAATACTATTAATTATTAAAAAAATGTATTTAATTTTAAATGTTCGTTTAATATTTACTGTGAAGGCTCCGCTTCTTCTAGCTCCCCCATATTAAGTAAAAAGTGCGAACGACCTATCAGTTTACAAATAACATTCTGAATCGTCATTACTCCCACAAAAAATTCCAACAAAAGAAAGCTTATGGCAGTTGCATCGGTTCAGCCTTACGTTAAAGCGTTTTGGTGATATATTACAAATATCATCCTGTAAATAGAGATCTTAAATTTTTCTAATACTGGAGTCTTTGATAATGCTATGAAACAGTTTTACTTGTGAGAAACATGAATAGTCTAGTGACCAGTCGAAGAAGTAACTTATGTTTTTAAGTATGGTATTAAGATAATATGAGTCTACGCTTCGTAGTATGCAGTCGCACACAAACACACACATATATAATGCTTAGTATCGTGGCCGTTTCATTGCCGCGTTACATGGATTTCCGTTCGCTTTTTTCAAATCACCCCCATTCTAAAGAAGTTTTCATGATCCGAATACCGAGAGTGAAATAAATGACGATATTGTGTCAAGTGTCGAGTTTATTGAATATTACGTTGAGATAAATAACGTTTCAATGTGTAATATATTTTTCTGTTTTCAATACGTTCTTTTTAACTTGCTTTTAAAAATTTAAAAGATATACCAAGCTTTCTCCCAATTCGTTCCTTTTCGTTAATAATTTGTAATAAGAGAAGACCACGGTTAGGTCGTTATCCAATCAAAGACGAATGTGTCGGGAAAAGAAACTAGCAGCGCCCCCACGTAAATACGTTTCACCAATGACATATACAGAAATCCCCCTCGATAGAAAATGAAAAGACAGAGAAATAGTGAGGGAGTAAGAGAGAGAAAAAAATAAAAACGAAAAAAAGCAGGAAGATAGTACTAAGGGTGACTAACGAGTGGGCCATAGATGGCGCGGGAGAAAGGGAATAAAAGAAAGCTGTTGAGTCTGTGAGAAAGAAAGAAAGAAGAAGAGGGAGGAAGGGGGAGAGAAAGAGATGGAGAAAAAGACTCGCGTCGGCAAAGGAAAACGTCATCGAAGTCGCTCGACGTCATCGTATCGTCGCGCGTTGTCGTTGTCGCAGGAGACGCCTCATAGTAGGCAACCCGTTCAGCAGTCTCGTACGAAGTGCCACGGAAACGAACAACACGATTCTTCCTCCTATCCGTTTCTATAATATTCTCTCTTTCTCTGTCTTCTCTTTCATCCTCTGCCTTCTCTCTCAGCGCACGATCACGAAAAAGTTTTACGATAGGAAGTGGAAACCCACGAGGACTTTGGGGTGGCCTTTGGGAGAAGCGCATCGATCCGCGACTGCACTAACTGCAACACGGACGATACGATGTGAACGGATAAATGCTCCCGTCGATAATTACGGGCGATAGTCGAGAGTCGAAAAAGAACTCGCGAGTGTACTCGTTTGATCGTTGTCGTTGTTATTAAAAAAGCAGCATCAATTTCTAAATGGGTCAAGTCGTGCCGGCGACACGATATGCAAGAAACATTGCCACCACGAATCACTGCCTGGCCTAGTTTTTTCTTCCTCCTCCAGTACCATCGACACAACTACTACCACTACCGACCACTACTACCACCACTTTCAACCTCAACTCTACCACCTCCTTCACCTCGTTCTCGAGGGCAAACGAATAAAGGGTGAGAGGAATAACGGTGGTATTTCACGCGACTAGTGAACATTGCCAGTGACTCCATTTACAAAGTTTCGTCTCTTTACTATTCTCGTCGTTGTCATCGTCGTCTTCGTCGTCGTTATCGTGCAGCCATGGAAGACTGTTCTCCGCGATTCGTGTCTTTCGGCTAACGGGAGTGCATCGATCACTACTACTACTAGTATTCGTTAACAAATAAGGCCGAGTAACAAATCGAGCCGAGGTTATCATTACCTAGGTGAGAGAGACTCACCTTACAACTATTTCTTGAACGAATGATCTTCTTAATCTTCATTCGCGTTCTCTTCTTATTTCTATACGTAATAACAACCAATATTTTCCTTTTTTCTAAAATTTCGAACGTTGTATATATATATATATATATGTACACTTATATACAACAAATATATCTATCTATCTGTGTGTCTGTAAGCGCCCACATGACGTGCACGCATACCTTCGTTATTTACAACAATACGGGTGAAGAACACCGTTGCATCCCAATAGCTATTTTTTAAATGAAATGGATATTAAATTAAATTAACATATCCCAAAGGACTATGACTGATGTATTTATATGTAACTCCAAGAATGGTAAATATTTTGAAGGGAGAACTGCTTTTTTTGTTTATTTGTAGAAAAGTTATAGTCGTCTCTGGAGAATTCATCGTCGCATCGAAGCGATTTCGTATCGACGCGCAACCCTCCGTTGAAATATCGATTTTCCCGAGAAACGATTGGAAAGATTATCTCTCACTTTGTCGAATCATTTACGTGCTTCTCTCTTCTCTCTTTTTCGAATTTATCGAGATGTAACATCGATATTTTAAAATAATATGGAAGATCTATGTAACATAGTGTTAGTGTAAAAAATCTGCGCGAGGTCTCGCGTTAAATGTGTATCTAAAAAAAGGATGCAACATTGTCCTTGACGCTTTTACTTGCAATGAAATAACACTTGCAGTATCGATCTTACCATCGCGGCATCTTCGTGAGAACTTTCTCTCTCGCTTATGTATACATTCACACGATCGTTACATTTGTCCTTTCCCTTTCTTTTTTTAAGTATTTCTTATTGAGATATCGATACTTATCAAAATCAAAAAATAGATGATATATTTACATGGAAATTTCCTTGGATTTATTTCATTGTTTCTTTCAACAGGAAGTAATAGAGTTTCGTTAATTCGTCAAAAATGGCTACGAATAAACCACCAGAGATGAATTACACGTGCGAGATTTGTGGGTTGGAGGGTCTCAATGACGAAGAAATGAGATCGCACATGGTTTTATATCATGTTCAAGGAGCTGCCAATTGTCCTTTTTGCGATCTCGACGAAATCTCGCCTGCAGAAATGCTAGTTCACGTAAACAGCGCACACTTGGATTATTTAACACCAAGGTATGCTTAATTAAATGATGACAAACGTACAAAAGCCAATCTAATGCATTATATATGACGTGCGTATGTATACGCATATATGTGTAGTTAACATTTTATATAAGGCGCGGGAAATAATTTCTAAAGAAAACAGTAGATGTCGCTAATATAACAATGTACATTCAATTGTATGAGTAAATTCGTTGAATACGTGTGTGTGTTAAATTTAAATGAAATCTAACAAATACGTGTAAGCTTTTAACAGTTTTAGGAGGAAAAATAAACATAATGTGCCGTGAATTAATTATAATAGAATAATATTCATTTTTATTCTGTTAAAAATGTTCACTGAATAATTAAACGATAATAAATAGAAATTAGAGGCATTATGAATTATTTAAACGTGTAAGAACGTTGTGTTATTTTTTGTATTTCACTAATTGCATAAAAACTAACAAAATAAACATGGCAAACATAGCAACAAAAAGAAAACGGTATAAATTGTATAAAATATTTACAATTGGATTACTGAATACTTTATTTTCCTAAAACTAATTTATGACAGTTATTGATTATTCTAATCATTAAAGTACTCCAGAAAACGAAATGCTGGCATTTATCGATGATGACTCCACCATAGAGGATCATAGACATGACGAATGCCGTGGCCCTTCTCCATCAATGTCTCTTAGACCACCACATCTACAAAATGGATGGTCTGCTTCTCACAGTTCTCGTATGCACCAACAACAATTACAGCAACAACAGAATTCTAAAACCCGTAAAGTGGATGTACTAACTGCTAGTCCCAATGTAAACAATAACAATAATAACAACGATAACAGCAATGCTAATAGCGGTATGCTTGAATTAAACGATATACGAATATATCGTTTAAGAGTTTAAATTATAATATAATTTTTTCAGTATTGGAAGGTTCAGCTGGTCATGGATCTCCATTACGCTCAGGCCTAAATCTTCAATTACGCTCACATGCTTCTCCAAAATTAGCTGTTCAAGAATGTCCAATGTGTCAATATACTTCAGACAGTCCGTTAAGATTGGAAGAGCATATCAATCGACAACATTTCGATCTCACTTCTCCATCTTTTCCACCTTCATCACCTCCAACTAAAGACGGAGTCTTCAACTGCCCCTTTTGCGTAATTTCATTTCCTGATTCCTCTGATCTCGTGTTACATGTTAATATCGAACACAAAGATATACTCAGGTAAATTTAAATTAATGATTAATATATGAGAAATATTTTAGCGTCTAATTTAATCATAATAAACGAATAATGTTAATGAATTTATATTTGCCAGCCCTGCAAATGGATCAGCCTTGCAGTCTGATTTGGCTACTGTTGGTAGCGATACACCTTCCTGTCCAGTTTGTTCCAGTACATCGTTTAAAAATAATGATGACCTAACGTTACACGTCGAGGAACATTTTAACAAAAAAAGTACTCCATCACCCATAACACCAGACCATTCGACAGATAGAATGTTAGCAAAAGATATGGAGAGGCGAGAAAAAGAAGTTCGAAAATTACGTGAGCAACGAGAATTTGAAATGTTACGGGCACAATATGGAATGGACAATCAGGGTAATTTTAGAGAACAAAGTGTGACTAATATGCAACGAGCCGTCCTTGCAGGCGAAATGACGGTAGCAGATTTTTATGAAAGACAAACAGGGTTAACAGTTGCTGAAAGCAGTGGTATCGATGATGGCAGTTCTTGTACACGTGGTAACATTTTATCTCTACCTTAAAATAAAAAAAATTATTATATCGAGTGACACATAGAACAATGTTATTTATAGGGCTGGTTCCCAAAATACGAGCTGTTAGTCAAACATGCAGTAACGTAGTAAATACATGGATGTGTTCTACAGTGGATCATTATGCTTGTACTTATGGAGATAAAGGCTGGGGCTGCGGCTATAGGAATATGCAAATGTTGATTTCATCTCTTTTGCAGCATACTGGATACAATGAGTTAGTGTACAAAGCTTGGAGTTCTGGCCTTGATAGTGGGAGTTCCAACGACAATCCTTTGCGTAGTTCTATGCCTTCCATATCTAGGCTCCAAAAAATGATAGAATGGGCTTGGGCTCAAGGTTTTGATATTCAAGGTGCTGAGCAGCTTGGTGGTAAACTTACGAACACTAGGAAATGGATTGGTCTTACGGAAGTCTCAACTTTGTTATCCAGTTTAAGAATAAAGTACGTTCCATGATATTTCTCTATTCTGTTAGTCCGTATAACATGAATTTATTATTTACAGATGTCAGCTAGTAGACTTCTACAGACCCACTAGTGCCGATGGAGGACATCCTGAAATGTTTAATTGGGTGTTACAATATTTCCAGAGATGTGACGACTTTAAACCTCCACTTTATTTACAACATCAAGGTAATTATTGAAAGTAGTTATATTATACGTACATATTATATACATAATTATTTGCTAAATTAAATATATTTGAAGGTCATAGCAGAACAATAATTGGTGTAGAACGATTAAGAGATGGTTCCATAACAATGTTAGTATTAGATCCAAGTCACAGCCCATCTCAAATGGCACAATTTAATAGTACGAGTAGTGCACCTGGAGCAATGCGACTTGTGCGTAAATCAACTGCTGCGATGAAAGCTAGACAGTATCAAATTGCTACTGTCACTAGTATTATGGATACAGAAGAATCTTATCAAGTAAGTTAATTTAATTTTTTTTAATTAATAACATTAGTTATAACAAATTTACCATTAATTATAAAAAATTATATAAATACGAATATTCTTAAACTATAATTTGCAGCAAAGTAAAGTATTACATTGGATGCGCATTCCACAAGACAGCTGAGAATTGCTGCTCCAAATGAAAGCACAGCAGTGCTCAAAGATAATAGACTGCCTCAAACCGTTCTTGTCCAGCATCCTTGAAATTACGTGACCGTAATGCTTTAGGTTTATCACTAGCATACTTGCCTCCATTATAGTAGCAGCAAAATGATTATGTAATTATATGTTATATTCTTGCATTTCTAGCATGAATAACGAACTGGCTCCTTGACACGTTGTGTGTTTTATGCGTGCGTCGCGGTCAACAATTTCAGAATAAAAAATATCAAAATTTTGGTACGATTCGCTTATTAAATTTTTCAAGCACGAACAAAATTCTAATTCTTTACGGAATTACGGTGTTCCTTGTAAATTATATTCTGATAAAAAATTATTACTATTTCTGGAAGCACCCATTTATTGTCGTGTACAAGTAAACAAAGATATATAAGACAATTTACTAATGAAACTATCAAAAGATAGTTATAAATTCCATTGCCATTCCTTATTCAATATGTCTACTCAATTTTTGTCGTCTTAAACAGGCTGTGTTAACTTCGATCCGGCCAATCCTCCTATGGCGATCGATAATACCAATTGAAAAAGCGTCCTGGCAGAGCTTGGAAAAAATCTTTTTCGTAGCTGTGATGCGGTTATTTAATGTTGATCGTTCGTCTGTCATAAACATTTTTAGAGATGCTCCAATATCGATGTCAATGCAGTATTCTCTTGTTATCTGTCTTTCTTTGTGTATGATATATCATTCTATGGAAATGCTGTCAATTTTCATTCGATATCGAATGCCAGTAGGTATATACGTACATATATATGTACTTACCTACAATACACACATATACACAGTATAATAAAATTTTATATGACAAACAAAATTATTCTTGGACGTGTATTGATTAATAGCTTCTGTATAACTGGGAGCATCTAAAGAAATGTTTCTGTCCATATACCTATACCCTATATATTTACACACAAAAGACACTTGCACATTTGACATCACATTTCACCCAGTCACATATAAAGTACAACTACTTTCATACTAATTACAAATATTCTATTTAATTATTCAATTAACTTAAGACTAACCGTGCCCTAACTCATAAGTCCAATGAAATGCTATGAATGAGGGAAAAACGAAACTACAGTCCATTTACTTGTTATTTATATTATATACTTAATCGTTACGTAAATTAGTAAATTCTTATTATTATTACTCTTATTATATTTCAGAAATTATACTGAGATACCATTAAGATCTATTTATTATAGTTACAATTTTTACGGTGACCATTATAAAAAAAAAAGGAAAATGACAATTTATCATGATTAAAGGGTCACCGATTGTTTTATGGTTTCAATATTTATGATGCACCAGTCATATTTGTCTTTTGGCTCAATAGGACCACACGCAGTAACTATGACTGACCGCAAAACTACCAAAAATAATAATTATAGATATGTAACAGATTTTGCCATGAATCAATTAAGAATCTGTTCATTATTATGGAGTGTTCAGGGAAACCAAGCTGTGGAATTGTTATGCAAGAGTAAAAAAAACTTTCGCATTAGCCACATGTCAAATTAAAATATATGCTTTATTAGAATTCCCAAGCCCGATTTTGCATTTTATTTCCAAGAACTTATAATAATATATTCTAAATTATAAAAGATAAATTTATTAGTTATAAATTCTATATTATATTGTTACAATTGTAATATAATTTTATATCATTTTATTTCCAACACAAGTGACCTCATTGTTAAGTTTCTAATTTTTATTCATTTATCTAGTTGTTTACAGTCAACAATTTATGTTAGATTAAATTATGAATTATAAACTATTACAAAATGTTAACCATGGCAAGATACAAATCACAATGTAGTTTGATCGAATATTAGCTTAGAAAGAGCTCTTTTAGTTGAATATAACAAATCATTGTATTAAGAATAATTTATCAATCACTTTTGGTATATGTAAATAAAAATTGGTTATATAAGGAATAAATGGTATAGTTATTCATTGTACACATTTTATTGTTCCAATATTTCAATTTTATCAACATATGAAATGACATTTTATCTTATATGATATGACAGATATACAACATTAAAATAACATAAGCAAATTTTATAAGTTTACAACAAGATTTTATTTAAAGATGATTCTACGAAGTACTAAATTATTTACAAATAAATATATGGAGAGAAACTTCTGTAATCATAGCATTTTTGTAATATTTTATAGAATTTAAGTATAACAATGGCAATTACAAGATGTTATTAACTATTTGATGTATTATATATTAAATCCCATTGAACGCATACAACTTTTATGAGCCTCTATAAGATCTTGGCAACTTTCTTCTCCTCTTTCTATAATACTGCAATATAAATGTATATTTTTATTTGATATATATAAAATGTAAAGTTTAAATAAATATATATATATTTATTTTTTAAATATATTTTTATATATCTAAATATATATTTAAAATATAAAATATTAAACAATTATATCAATAAAATTCTATACATCAAAGGCAGTACTAATCTAACATACAAAATAAATTTCCAATTATTACAATTTAGAGAAAAATTATTCTTTGAAAAAAATTTTTCCTTTTATTTAATCAAACATAACCTATTGATAATATAACCTTACATACCACGCATCTCTCGCCTTTTTTGTTTCTGGACAAGCACAGCAAGGCTTCAATTTTTTCTCTCCTTCTTGTTTTGTTTCTGCTTTTACTGGAGCATTACCCATTTTTATGAACAATAATTATTTTTGAAAAACGTATAGAATAACCGCAATAACGTAAATCGTAAAGAATCAAGACTATAAGAAATTCAAATATCAAGCAATCGTATTATACATCGATATTAGTTACTTCCTAATTTATCGACATTTAGATGGTAATTATCGAGTGTTAATAACATGTGCTTCGTAAAAAGAGCAGTAAGAAAATTACCCAATTTGAATATAACACTAATTATATTTGTTAATTATTATTATTTTTACAATAGCAATATAAGTGATATCTATATTATCATTTTATTAGAAATAATAAAATAATTTATTCTATTATATCGAATAAAGGTTGGGATAACAAACTTTTAATGAATGACAATATATAAACAAAAATGAAATAAAAATAACTGGAATGAAATATTAAAGAATAATGTTGAAATTTTTGATATCATCTCAAAGTGTAGAATCCAAATTCGACTTATCTTTATTCGATTTGTATACACTCGAAGAATTTAAAATGGAATAGTTAAAAAGGATAGAAGTATCTTTTATTCACGGAAATCATGAGACCAATTTAAGAATGTTCATGCGTGCCTGCACGTTCTTCAGGTGTGTACGTTAAACATAAAAGACGTATCGCTACGCACAAGACTCGAATAAAATCTACCAAGAGTAAAATTATTATTCGTTTTTCTTCCTGCCGTAGTGTCTTTCTTTGCCAAATCTCGTTTCACTTACAGAGATGTTTTATTTAAGTGTGATCTACCTTTCTCGACCCAAGAACAATAGAATGACTTTTTTACATTGAAATCCGGATCACGTTTCCGAGTAAAATTACAACGTCAGCCGTTCGAAAAGTTGACAAATCGAATTCTATAAGTCGTCTGCTGTGTGAAAGTTATTCCCTTTTCATATCAGTTATAATAGAAATTTTTTATATTTTCGTTTATTATGAGCAACGTATATTACATTTATTTTTTAGTATTGTAACGTCCAGCCACGTTCTTCCGTCATATTTTTTTTCCACAGTAATATAAATTTAGTTAAGAACAATATCATTTCAGTGATTTATATGAAAATTAATAAGAACCGTCTTTAGTGGTAAATATATAGATCAAGGGAGACGATTGCAAGATTTAAGCAAAACGAAAGATAAATAAAAGATTAACTAATCCTATTCATTAATTTTATTTACAAGAAATGAATGAGACTCATTCTCAAAGATCTATTCTTATTTGACTTTGAGAATTCTTATTATATTTCTTTAAATCAGAAAATATTGGTGTGAATAATTGGGTGCTTATTAGAAAATATTGGTTGCTAATCAAAAATAATCATTGTGATGGAGGATCGGAGGATAGGAATGGAGGATAGGAATTGATACTATATAATAGATCAATATATTAGGCTCTCTACGAGGCTTTTCTACGATTTATTTTTGAATATTCATATAATATTATTTTTTAATATTATACGACTACAGAAATTAATTTTAGGATTAAACAGCATTTTTCTGTAGCATCTTTAATTGCAAATATCTAAAAAATTATTAAGTAGTGGCCCCTATAACCATATATATTTGTAAACAGGGAAGCAAAATCTATTATCCTACAAAATTTGAACAAAATCCGTGAGGGCAAGACATTGCAGAGTGGTCACAACAGGCTTTACTACTTAACAATATTTGTCAGTTAGGACGTAACAGTATTTGACTCGACACGAATCAAAAACAATCTTTTTGTCTTAAATTTGTTCTGCTTTTTACGGTCATACAAAGAATCATCTAGGTTGAAAAGGCTTGAAATTTAATTATCCGATAAACGCGATGAGTAAGTTAAAAATTCAAAAAAGCAGATGTCGTCGAAAAGAAAACAAGATTTTGTAGCAGGTGTAAGTCGAACGACAGGTGAACGTGGCGCGATTCTTGATTATTTTGAGAGACGTAAAAAGAAGGCGTTAAATTTAGCTACGGAAAGTCATGGTAACTTTTCGATATATTTTGAAAATTTATAATATTATATTGAATTATTTGGAAAGTTATTGCCAATTTATAAATATATATTTGATATATATTCTTAAATATATGTATATAAAAATAGAAAACTATTGCGTTTTAATTTTTTTATGAAAATCGACACGAACTTTTCGAGAAATCCAGTAAAGAAAATAAGATATAATATATATATTTATATAAATAATAAATATAATGTACTTCAATTTTTAATTAATATTTGAGAAGAAGATATTGAAATCTGTTTCAAATTACATGTAAAGATTTTACAAATTACATTACAGATACAATCCTGAGGGTTGGTAATATCTTGTGACAGAAACCCGAGAAAAGAAGAAGTCTTACAAGTTTACGTCTTCTTTTGTTAAAGTAGCGTCTGTTCGATTGGATAAAAACTTATCGTGTTATTCTATCAAGTCAAACTATAAAAAGTAATAGATTAAAAAAATAAAATGAATGGGATTCAACTCTTCTATTATTATGCTTTATACGTTAATATCTTTATACACTTTGGGATTTCCCAGGACAAAGCGATTTCCGAGCTGATACCATGACTTCTGATATATAAGCTGCGTAGAAGACAATGAACGATCTCACTGAATACTAAAAGGCCCCTGAGAACAGTGCGTGATTGAGCTTCTCGAAATATTCTTTACGTTATATATATAGGAATACGGAGTATCTTCTTGAATTTTGTTCAATGTTTTCTCCCTCCAAGTTTTCCAAAGCTATAATGGAGGATATGATTACGTGATATGGTTAATCATTGAGGGATACAATATACTATTTTTATCTATAACGATTTTTTATTTTTTGACAATAAATTCTGTCAATGAAATTACTTCAATATTATACGTATATATATGGTATATATATACCATAAGTGCTTATGCTTGTGCATGCATTTAAATTCCCAATCTCAATTTTTCCTACATAAAATACACAATGCACAAAATGTTGCAGTAAGTTTCTGCTAAGCTTTATAGGACTTTTTATAATTGAAATAAAGAAAAAATTGTATACAAATACAAAACAGGAAACGTTTTGTTTCCAAGTTATAATCAATCAAAGATTATCCTCCTATTTTAGATTTGATCAATTCTATAAGATTTTCAAGTTTGAAATTCAATTTTTATTGATTTCCAAACAGATCGAAATATGTATTTCCTGATATATCTCTTTGGGAAAAAAGAAAATGGCGATGGTGAGTGTATATGCTTACCTTTCGGTACAATGGTATATCTATAATATAGAAGAACCTTTCGTGACAATAGTGGAATCAGACAAAGGGAGATTCAACGAAAACTCTGTATTTTCGAACTTCCTGCTCTTGTCACATTGCCATAACAAAATTCACTGTACACATACGATGTATAAACCTATATATATATAAAACGACGAAAATAATTCTTTCTACTTTTTATTTATTTTTTTTATTTAAAGCAATATTTACAAAGACGATAATCGTTTTATCGTTTTTGACTCTGTCCGTAAATTAGAATTATCTTCTAAGACGACGAGGATCAACTCGCGAGATCCTCCATGAGCTCTGAATTTGAATGAAAAAATATTTCGACAAAGAAAGGACGAAGCTTTAGAACGAAGACTAAATTCGCATCGCTAGTGGACGATTCCTTGAGCAAAACTGGTTTCGGGCTGACAATTAATTCGATCGGGATAAGTCGTTCTTGCTAGCGACGATCCGATTTATGACTTATTAAATGCTATTTATTAAAATCGCTTAACGATCGGTATCCTCTAAATAAGTATTTCTTGCACGTCGTAATTAACCGATTATTGGCTTTAACGTAATTTATACCTTTGTCGTAACACTGTTATCACTTACGAATAAATTATAAATAATATAGTATAAAGGATTATCTTACTTCCATTTAATGGTTATACTTTGTATCGATGATTAATATTTTGCATTAATTTTTGAAAACAAATAAATATTACGTATACTTAATAATTAAAGATTGCAATTGTAAATGACAACAATTTTGTTTCGTAAAGTTTTAAATTAATAATAATTAAATATCTTACTGTGTCAACATCGTTTTTTTTTTCGATATCTGAATCGATAGTGAAACAAGTGCACTCACAGAAGAATAAAGATCGTTAAATCTTCCTACATAAACTATAATGTTTCCATGTCAGTTACAGGAAGTAACGCGATACAGTTGGCTTCCGAACACGTGCAAATGCTTAAGCATAATAAAATTTTTTAAACGGTTACTGACCGGACGAAGACAACACGATTAAACGTTACGAATATTGATACGTATTGTTACGTACTATTGTCGATCAAGGAAAAAGTAGAGAACTTTCAATTTTTATCGATCTTTGAAACGATCGACAATTATCCCTGTCCCTTTATTCGATCAGAATTGTATTTTCCCTTGCTTTTCTACCAGATTTTATCCCATGTAACCCTTAGTCTTGAGATAATATGCGCTGACAGTTTATTGATAACTGTCCTGATAGTTTAGAGTCATTCTACCCCCTATTACCGATTTATCAGGAAAAGTACTCTTTATAATTTGTCGAGTGTTTGAGCTTAAAGCACGTACGTTGGATCATTTTCTTACATGGTCGGTTCCATGAATTGAATAATCTGACTCTTGTGAGACTGGATACAGATAAATAGCTACATAACGACGTAACAGTATATAAATAAGAAAACTTTTAATAAAACATTTGTAAAAAGTTCGAAAGACTAGCGTATTTACAGTAATCTCAGATTATTTATTAACTAAAAAATATATGGAAATATTAAGAACAAAAGTTCAATAGTATTTAAATAATCTGAAATATATCTATATAAGATAAAATAATTTGCTTACATCAAGCTGTTTTTATATATCACAGTGCCGAATGAGAACCACTGAGGAACAGAAGGGCGCGTGCCAAGGGCTCGCATCTGCCGCAGTTAGTTTTGCAGCCCCTCAGTTTCTTACTAGAACAGTACTACTCATCGATGTGTGAGTCTCACGTTACAAAAAAGAAACGCTTCCGCAGGAAGCGATGCTAGATCTTTATAACGCGTTTCCTTTTTTCATTTCAAAGGATTCTTCCTTTTGCCGCTAAAATAAAATAAATATCTTTCAAAATATTATAGTAAAACTTCAAGATTCCTGATGAAAAAGCTTTCTAAATCATGCGTTTATTCTATACTCGTTCTAAAATCTATATCATCAATACAATATTTTAATATTTTAAATACTTACGAGTATGTTTAATTGTCTTTCTTTTATAAATATTTAATCAATTATAATATTATATCAATTTTAATTTAACATAAACTTTCTAACAAATTTATAAACATATTGGATATTTATTTACGTGAATTCAGGTATATGCGTCTGTGTGTATATATATAATTGTAATGTTAAATTAAAAACATAAATTACAATTGAAACAATGAAAAATATTATAAATAACGATTTAATTTAAGGCATATATTTAATTAATAAAAATATTTAATATTTTTGGATGTTTAATTGTAATTTTGAGAAATATCATAAGAGGGGTTGTGTTCGTGGGTATTCAGAAAGCAAAATACGTTCCTGGAAGTGGGCCTGAAGAAGGGGACGAACGGCAGGTAAGCAGCTGCGAGCATCTGCAGGGAGAGCGGCAACCGTGGGCAGCCTCATGTTTGAATTAGTCCCGACACAACTGTTGTTCGTGCAACATGTATCAAAGAACGTTGCTTAAATTTCGAAGAAAGGATAAGTGATAAAGATTCTAACTTCGAATGATATGAATTTTTGTTTAAATTTTGTGCTCATAAAATGTTTAAAAATTTATACTTTTGATGATAATTTTTAAATAAACTAAGGGTTCTCACAACATTCGCGATGTTATTTTAGTTTAAAACTTTTAAAATGACCCTAACAAATTAATATTTTGATCTGAAAGTATGTTTCAAAATTAATAAAAAAGAAACAAAAAATAAGAAAAGTATCATAAGGAGTGAAACGAGTGAAAACAGAAACCGATCAAATGATTCTATAAAATTCAATAAATTTTAAAGAAGAAGAAGAAGAAGTAGAAAATGGAGAAAATGTTGATACTCCAATTAATTGTTATATTTAGCCTATGCTGGACGATTCATTGTGATTTATTGGACTTATATGTTCAACACATGGATGAGACAATGAGGACGCAGGCGTATAGTAAAATGCATCATCCGAAGAATCTTTTAAACAGGTCAAAGCGTAGTGTACAAGACGAGCCACTGTTGAGAATTCAGAGTATGTTCAAAAAACAACGTCTTGACGTCGACGAGGAATACTGGAAGCAAAGGAACAAGGAGCTTGTACCGTACGGAGAAGACGGACTCGATTTTCCGAACGATAGAGAAGAAACTTTAGATTCCAGTCAGTATGAATTAATAAGAAATTCAACAGAAAATAATATTTCATTGAATACCGAAGATGAAACAACAACAACAACAACAGCAACGACAACGATTATAACCGATGAAAATAATTCAGACGCTTCTTTCGAAATAGAATTATCGGATAATGAACCAAAAATTGATATGAACAGTACTAAAGAGGATATAGAAATCGAAGAGTTAAACGATAGTTTGGAAGAAATGCAACCAAACTTGGATGAACTCAAAGGAAACGGGAACGTCGAAGTAATTGAGGATACCAAATTTTTCGAGAAAAAAATAACAAACAAGGACTCGACGTCCGAACAAATCAAAATTATCAATGAAGAAGAAACTGATAAAGTTTCTTCGGCTTCTACAGTTTTTAGTGAGACCACCTACAAGAAAGCTCCGAAACCATGGAGTCGCGTGCCAAAGAAATATTTTCCAGGTTTCGACAAGATACCTAAAGAATTATACAGCGGCAAGGGTTATTACATATCCAACGAAGATGCTGATGTGGTTAGATCAAAGAGAAATACAAAGGAGAGAATATTTCCTAGGTATGAGAGACTCGACGAGGATGGTAATGTTATCCTCGAGTGGGATCCTTCGGACGAGGAAAAGATCACGTTCAGAATTACTGCGAAAACGTTGGGTTACGTTGGTATTGGATTCAATGAGAAGAGTCACATGAAAGGAGCTGACATTCTTCTCGCTTGGGTCGACGATCATACTGGGGCTGTCAATCTTCTGGTAAGTTTTTTTCTCATTTTGATTTACAGTGATCGATAGACCTCTTACATTCTCCGACTAGATACCGAAAAAAAACTCCTCGGGCATTCGATATTTGATCGATCTGTTCAGATTATTCTAGACTATATGGAATATGGTTCAGGATACTACATATAATTTTTTGTAAGATTTCATGTTCGATCATTATGCTGCTCCTTCCTTACTAACTCACTCACTTACTTACTTTCTTACTTACTTACTCACTTACTTACTTACTTACTTACTTACTTACTTACTTACTTACTTACTTACTTACTTACTTACTTACTTACTTCCATTGTTACTTACATTCAATGCAAAGTTAACCGATATATACTAGTAATTAGACGAATACGTGATATGTAACTGAAATTAGGTTCTGAGAGATGAAAAGCAGTTAATGAGCATGGAGCATGTTGTAAACTCGGAATTGCCCTGGAGAGTGAAAATATCAACAGAGTGGAACAAGCCATTTTAACGCACAATTTATATAATGGTGAATGTAACATTATGCTCAATGTACAAGGTGTTCCAAAATAACTAAAAAATATATTAATGATGGCTGTAATATATTAACCTTTTTACCGAGGAATTCGAATTATCTCGTCATGGTATTTGGAAAACGATGCATGTAAATTTACATTTTATATCATTTGTTTCTTTTCTTAATCGAAAATATGTACACATTGTTATTTCACGCATTAACTTGTATTACATAAAACATTGTTTTATGTAATACATGCTTTGATAAATTAAAAGGTTACAAAAATAAACATATGTGCTACTTGATTTTATTTGCAAGTTAATATTAATTTGTGTTATTAAGACTTAATTGCTTTTTTATATTTAAATATAATAAAATAAATAATTGTAGATAAGATAATATACTAAAAATATTTAAAAAAAGCTATGGCTCCGTCCTCATATCGTGTATCAGAGACTATTCTCCCCCTCCAATGAGGGTCATCAAGATTTAATGGCGTTGAAAGTTCAGTTTTCGTTCCTCTCATTGACAAACCTTTCGCCCTTAGCTTTTCCTTTAGTTCTAATACTGAACAATCATCTTTTCGCAACATGTCGAATACTTTGTATAAAAACAAGAATCTCACAAAATCCAATAGCAGTTTTGATAATTTATCAAAACTCACATAAACAACTTCTAAAATTCTAGATTATCCCAAGGATTTAAGTGCTCAAAATCTAATAGTTCTAATACTAAATGTTCAAAATTCTAAGGTTTCAAAGTTCTGAAAATCTAAGATTCTAAGTATTCGTTCACTCAAACTCTAAGTTTCTAAGATTGTAAGGTTCTAAATATCGAAATTTATGGTTCACAATAACGTAAAATTACAAGTTCACTTTTCAAAACATTGTCAGAAAGAGAGGATGCGAACCACGAATCGCAAATTCCGATCCCACTTCTGAAATTTGTAAACGAAAGCTTTTGAAAGAATTGAAAGCTTGAGTAGGTAAAATACGTCTTTATTTCTTCACGTCTTACAATAAACTCCCCTCAAATTCACTTGTCGATACATTCTCTTCTTTCACTCCTGCATGCACACCCGAGATAGCACACATACATATTCTTATCCACGATATTTAATTAAACATAAAAGAACGAGCCGTCTACAATTGGTAACAAAGGTATAAGGCTCTTCAACGAAACGTGTATCGACCTGCAGCCGATCGAAAGCAGACGATTTCTTGAATAAACATGCTCACACATCCAAGCAGTCATCGTTTTGTTTTATCTAGCATACCTACACACACACATACACACACACACACACACACAGAGTATATCGTTGTGATGTTTACACACTGGTCCGAGAATCAAAACCACTTTGCCTAGTTCACGTTCTTATGTAGATAAACAAAGATGCATTTTTCTTATTCTGCTTCTAACGAAGACAAATAGACTAAGGTCGGTAGAGATTAGTTAAGCGTATAAATGAAACTTTCTAATGGTATAACATCGTCCAAAGCGAGGATCTATCAATTCGCGTAGGTTAAACCTGTTGCTTTCTCGCCTCTAATCGATATCGAATTTTCCCTATCGCTTCTGCAATGTGCAAGAATAGGTATAGTCAAATCCTTTCATTCTTCTCCGATACATCACCATGTAAACACGATTGCTTCCTCTTAAATTAAAAGAAATTAAAAGTTGAGATCGTTGAAATATCATTTTAAAGTTCATGATACATTTGGTTGGCATATAAGTCTGTACGGTTTCTTCTAATAATAAATAAATAACATTACAAAAATTGTATTGATTTATTAGCCAGCCCGATAGATCTTATCGAGTGATCGAAAATTAGAATTAAGAATAAACTCTCATATCTTTATCAAAAACTTATTCGACGTATCCTATATACAGGATGAGACATTAACTATTGTCTCCTAAAATAACTCCGAAAGTATGATAGTAGTAGACAAGTTTTCGAAATAAAAGTTGTATGGGACAATGAGGGTTATTACATAACGTTAGTTTATGCTTGCTAGGTGGAGTTGTTTCAAAGATTTGAAGGTCAACTTTGTTTTTTTAGATAGAATGCTATGTTTTATATTTATTTTCTAATAGCGGCTATCGAGACGAATCCAATGATGTGCAATATTAAGGTCTTTGAAGATCAATAAAGGTTATTTGAGACAAAAAAAGGGAAAAATGAACTTATATAGTATTTATTAAAAAAATGTATATACATATCTGAAAAATAAGAATGAGTATATAAATATTTTAATATTAAAATTTATTTAGACATTAGAGGATTAATAGAAGTTACTATTGGACTCTACACTTACAAGAGATACTCCAAGTGGTTGCCATTAGCTTCCAGACATTTATGTATACTATACAAACTACTGCTTAGGAAACGTTGGCTAAAGTGTTCAGTAAGGTTGCTGCACACGCATTTTCAATTTCCACTCTAAAAGCCACCCGTGTAGTCGGTTTTCTACGATATACGACATTCTTTAGAATCTCCTCATAAGTATCATGTGTCTTGAACTTATTAAGAATCCGTGAATTGTCAACGTATTTAAGATCCTGTTCCAAACTCAACGTCCATTGTCGTTGGATATCAACTACATTCTTAAATTGAAATACGAATTTAAAATGATCTTACGTTCCTCAATTGACAAACTTACTGTCGCCATTTTGTCACTGTTGTAGACGTCACTTGTTGATGCTAATATATATATGCCATGAATAAAGTGCGTATACATTTTTTTGGCGGACTTTGTATAAATCGTTTATTATGAGAATACGTCCGTAAGTAATTTGAAATTCTGAACGTAATGCCACGCATTTCAAAGATAAAAGAAATAAAAAGGATTGGTGAGCGTTGCTTCGCGAGTCCACCTTCGGTTGAAGACAGTTTGAAACCTGTCGGCGTGGATCTGTCTAACCGAGGGAAGAGTCGGCGAACGAGCTGGCGAACGAACGAACGAACGAACGAACGAACGAACGAAAGAAAAAAAGAAAGAAAAAGAGAAAGAGAAAGGGAGTCAGAAGGAAAGATAGGAGCAGGGAGTACAAAGAGGGTAGCAGTGAAGATTAAGAGAAGGAAAAAAGAATAGAAGGAGAGAGAAGAAAGAAGGAGGTAGAAAAGGTGGAATGAGGACTAACATAAGAGGACGAACGAAAGAAACAGTGGAAAAAGGAAATAAAAAAAACAGGAAGCCAGAGAATTAAAGGAAGATTAAGAGGACGGCCAAAGCAGAAAGGGAGGTCGAAAAGAGAGAGAACTGTGGAGGATTCGAAGTCGAGAACTTCAGAATGTGTGTATATGTACATATATATATATATATTTATATACCCTCTACGTATGTATGTATACGACTATACGTAAGTAGGTACGCTAGGAAGAATCGTCAAGCATGAAGAGAAAACAAAAGATCCATCGAAAGTTTTAAAGCATCGTTCTTTACTCAATTCATTCTTGTATATATAATATTTTCAACGACAACGGAAATACTTCTCTAAAGGGATGTAATTAGGACTCATACCTGCCATCTTTACTAACACGATCGATTTGTATTAATGAGAGGATCGTTAATTAACGCAAACCTAATGATCAAGCTATAGAGTCTGATGACTCATCATATAGCTTTTTTATTGCCGCTGCTTTTTCAAAATTGTAATACACGAATCTAAAGAAATTTTCTCATAGTGTTTCTCATTTCAGTTTATAAGTTAGGTTTATACGTGTTGGATTATTCATTCAATTTGAAATGTTTTGTAGAACATATATTATTTATTCTGTAATAAAATACGAATAATTAGAAAATTTTGAAGAAAGAAATAGGGTCGATACTTATATAGTATATCTTGGAAGAATTAAATTGATGAGATAGAGAAAGATTTTTAATTGATACTCCATAACGAAGGGTTGATAGTACCTACTATGGAAAAAGAGAAAGAAATAGAAGACAAGAGGCGATAGGCAAACGACAAACTCGAAGGAGCAGAACCTGTTTTAGGATCGACTTCTCCGAATTCCTAATCTTAATTAAATTTATAGCTATTACGTAGGAACTATCGCGAGACTTATTACTAAGGTAAACATTATTTCATGATAACTTCCTCTCTCAGGACTTTAATTATACCCGTAATCGAGAGTTCAAATTGATGAATACTGTGCAATGTTACTGTTACAACCATTACATACTCATTCAAAGGATAGACGATTTTTATCAACGAATGGACGCCATTTTCGAGTCTCTTGGAATTTCCATCCTCGATTTACCTGGTCCTTGTCTCTTCCCGACGTAAGAAATAAAAAGAATAAAAAATAGAAAGGAAAGGTACAGAATGCGCAATAGGCGGAGTATTCAGAGGTAAAGAGAGAAAGAAGATGGTGGTAGGGTCGAGGAGGGGAACATACACCGGCCTGAAAGGCTGGGATAAAATTAACGAACGTCGTTCCAACGAGCGAGATAACGTCGTGATAAATTTACGTTCCGTTCGTGGAACGGGGGGT